CCTCCCTCCCCTCCTCTCTTCCTCCCTTCCACCTTCCCTCGTTCCCTTCCTTCCTTCCTTCTCCCAGTAAGGACATTAAAAGCAAAGCCATCACCAACTATCATTATTTCACAAAAGCAAGGACATTTTAACATCCCAAATGTAGGAAAGATAGAATCCAGGTGGAGAACTGTCCTGATACACAGAATCCTCTAGAGGTCGCTGCTTCCAGCAAGAGGCCCTGGGTTGCTGAAGGACAGAGGTGAGGGGAAGATGGCTTCACTGTGTTCCCTTTTGTATCTCTTGGGCTTTGTACCATATGAATAAATACAGTGATCTATTTCAAAACAAAAACAAAGCAACTGTGCGTATGCCATCAGCACAGCTCACTTGGTAGGTATTTCCTCATCCTCATTCTTGTTTCTTCGTGGGCCAGTGGAGAAGATCTGCCAGCCCGTGGTGTTGTGGGCGCATGTTCACCTGGAACTCCTAGCCTCATCTCAATTCATCTTAAGTTCTATGAGAAAAAGGCCTGCCTTTCACTTCTTGCATCTTTCTCTGTGCTTTCCTTTCCACTTCCTTGCTGGTTTCTGTGTAGCAAGTTATTTGTCCTCTCTGTGTCTCAGTTTCCTCATCTGTACCACAGGACCAATGAGGAAACCAACTTCCAAGAATTGAGCTATAGTAAGTGCTTAGTAAATGTTAACTATTTTTGTTAAATGTCACCTTCTTTTCTGTGCCCTCTGTCCCTCAGTCAAGTGCCCGGCTTTACGCATTTCTCAGAAAATATTTATCATGACAAACATATATACCTGAGTGTCCGACACTGTGCTGACCCTGAGGAGGATGCAGCCCTTACTCTCAAGAAATGCACGGTCCATCCATCTGCCTGATACTGGAGGGAAAAAGTCACTTATTTTGCCTCGAGGTGGGGGTGGTGGAGATTGAAGCAGAGGAGGAGAGGGAGGGCACATTTATGTCTAAATGTCAGGCCCCAGTGGAAGTGCAGGGGCTTCTGGGAAGTGGAGAAAATCAATGGCAGGGTCTTCGTTTTCAGGGTAGTGCTGCTGGGTCATTTGCTTTCTTTCTGGGCCTCTGCCTAGAAAGTGGAGCTTCTAGGGAGGCTACAAATAACAGTTCAGCGTCCTTATTTCCTTCCCTCTGGTGGAAACTGGAAACCAGTGGCCATCTGTTGTTTAGTCCACTCAAAAGAGGATGTTGAGGCTTGTTTTTTCTTTGGACCCAAGGGTGCTTGGGAGCCCTGCAGCCCCTGTCTTTTCCATATAAAGCGTCTCTGAGAAGGAGCGGATTTTTGGTCTGCGAGGAGCTTCTCGGGTGGACCCCAGAGCATGGAACGTAAGAAATGATCCCCCTACCCCCTTCGGGTGTCCTCAGTGTGCCTATTGCCTTGGCCTGGGCCTGAGGAGGGGCAGGAGCCAGGGGACGTTTGCTGTGCAGGCACAGAGGTGCACAGGTGACCTGGGAAAGGCCGTCTTAAGCGCTTGACTTTCCATGAGGTCTGTGAGCCCTTGTGTGAAAACGTCACCATGCCCTTTCTGAGCCAAGCCAACTCAACCCTCTGCCACCTGTTTTCCTGCTCCTGTCTTGGATGCTGGCCATTACTATGATTGTTTTAAAACTTTTGTTATTATTTTCTGCTAACTGCAGTTCAATTAAATCTCCCCAACAGGGTAACTGCATGCCTGCAGGGCAGTTATCCTCAGAAGCTAGATACTGGAGCGGATAAACGCTTAGGTAATATTTAGATACAAATGTTTCCATGACCCAGTTTCCCCAAGCCCTAGGCAGATCACCAGTTGTAACAAACTGACTCTGACTCTAAGTTGGGATGGCTTCTTTTCAATGCAATATGCTTGATGTGGTACAGGTGATAAGAGGCTTTAAATAAGTTTGGTGAGGTGTGTACTTTTTTGAAACTTCAATGCAGAGTAGAATATTTTAAAGGAGTGCCTTGTGTATGTGTGTATGCATGTGCAGGTTGACCCAAACCACTTTAGAATTTAGGGTTAACATCTCTGCCTTTTCCTGAACTTGAATGTTTATTTTGCTTTCTTTAATATGCTGTGAGTTTTGGGGAGTAGTTAGAACAAATGCTTTGAGGATGTAAGTTGATTCTGCTATCGAGGAAGCTGGATATTGAGATATCACTAAAATATTCCTTGACTTGGGGAAATTGTCTGCAAGATCATTACACAGACCTTCCTGCAGATTAACAGCAAAAATCCGTGCTGTGAGTGTTCAGCTCTGATGAATGTTACAGATACCTTCTGAGTATGGATTTCCAAGGAATTAATGTCTGGAGAAGGCTCTGTTATGACATCATAGCATCTATAAATAATACATCATAAAACAAGCTGCAAGCGACCAGCCCCAGCCTTCTGCACTGATACTGCACCCACCTTTGAAATAATGGCTTTTACTGAAGCCAGAAACCACATAGCACAGCAGAAATGCAAATGAAAAACATATGTACATTGTGTGCTACATGATTCCACCCCATCTTATGTGACTTTTCTTCTGCATGGAATTGGATTCTTACCCCCATTTTTATTGCTTGTTTGGGGGTGTTTTTCCCCCCTATAGTGTGTGATTACTATAGTCTCTTAAAGGCCGTTGTGTTCTGGCCTCTGTGAGTGTGAAGATCAGCTATAAAAAGCAAAAATGGCAGTGGAGGCTCGTGGTAAAGAGTGTGTACTCCGGAGTTAGACTGCCTGGGTTTGGACCATGATTTCTCATTTTTTAGTTGGTGACTCTTAAACATTTCTATGCCTCAGTTTTCTCATCTATAAAGTGGGGGTAATACTAACCACATCTCAGAAAGTTATTGTGAAAATTGAGTTATTTAGCCCATGTAAAAAGCTCAGAACAATACTCAGCACATTGTAATCAATTTACGAGTGCTGAGTATTATTATTACCCAGTGACAAATTAATCATAAGATACATTTACTAAAAAGTAAATATCATGCATGCAAAAACTTGAAGATTTAAAATGCTTTAAAGAGGCCAGGCATGGTGGTTCATGCCTGTAATCTCAGAACTTTGGGAGGCAGAGGCGAGGGGATTGCCTGAGTCCAGGAGTTTGAGACCAACCTGGGCAACTTGGTGAGACCTCGTTTCTATGATACATCAAAAAATTAGCCAGGCGTGGTGGTGTGCCCCTGTGGTTCCAGCTACTTGGAAAACTGAGGCAGAAGGATCACCTGAGCCCAGTGGGTCGAGGCTGCAGTAGTCATGAGTGTACTACTGTACTCCAGCGTGAGTGAGACTTTGACTCAAAACAAAACAAAACAACAACAAAATAGCCCCAGCACTTTGGTAGGCTGAAGTGGGGGATCACTTGTGCCCAGGAGTTCAAGACCAGCCTGGGCAACATAGCAAGACTCCATCTCTACCAAGATAAAAAAAAAAATAATAAAGTTAGCTGGGTGTGGTGGTGCATCTGATGCCCTAACTACTCAGAAGGCTGAGGTGGGAAGATTGCATCAGCCCAGGAGTTTGAGGCTGCAGTGAGTCGTGGTGGTGCTACACAGCACTTTAGTCTGGGCAACAGAGCAAGACCCTGACTATAAATAAATAAATAAATAAATAAATAAATAAATAAATAAATTTGCTTTAAAGGGACCAGTAGTTGAAACAAAAACAAGAAACACACACACACACACACACACACACACTTCTATTCACTGCAAAAGTGTTTTACAGTTGAACTAAACAGCAACAAAAATGAACTGAGCATGCCAAAATTGAAACAAACACCTCCTCACTAGCCTGAGGGATTGTAAAGCTACTAGGAAACACGTTTAACATTTTTTTCCACCAATGCATTTCGAACTTGCTTTCTTGTGTAATCTACCTAAACCCCAAACTTTTATCAGTGGAAAAGGATAGAAGGGTACTTGGAACTTTGTGACTTTAAGGGCCAGATGTGAGACAGCTGGGAACCTTGGTTTTGCTTTACTCTTGAGTTCAGAGTCAGCCTGCTTGCTATGGAGAAAGGCATTGACTGCTCCTGTGCGTTACAGACTGGCTGTAACACTTCATGTGAACTGAGATGGTTCAGCAATCCCTTACTTAGCAGGTCTCCTGAGCAGGGGACTGAGTTGTGGAAGTGCCCCAAGGGTGATCCCTAGGGTGGGGCCAGGCAGAGTGACCCTCTGCCAGGTTGCGTCAGAGACTGGGGGGTATGGTTTGGAAAAGAGGGGTGCCACTAAGCGGATGGAGTTTGCAAATGCTGCTTCATCCAGATCTGTCCATAATGATACTAATCAAGAAGGATTTTTAAGGGAGAAATTGCTCAAAGCCTTCATCAAACTTGAAAGACAATCGGGAGGTTTTAGAAAAACCCAAACCAATATTTCTGGGGAAAGTGAAAACACATGACAGATAGGGAGTGGGTATCTCAGATCGAAGGATCCTATGTGCCACTGAGGGGTGCAGGAGGTGAGTGAAAGGCTGCGGTGGTGGGGGGGTTCCCTTTATCTAGGGTGCCTGAGCCAGGAAAACAAATACCGTGGCTGGTGATAGTAGCTTCGCCTGAGTCATCCCTGGAAATCCCACACTCTTCTGTCCTAGTGTCAGCCATAAGCATACTTCATTGCATTTGATGAAAGGGAGCTGGTAGCCCAGGAGAGATTGGGGTGGAAGGGCCCGGCAGTTTTCTGTGTTCCCAAGAGGCCTGGGACTCTGTAGATGTGCTCCTGGTGGGGAAAGTTGCCTTGCTACGGAGGTCCCAATACTGGGTCCATCCAGTGATTCCTTAGCTGCATCGTCTTGGATAGGTTGTTATATCTTCTAGACTTTTGTTTCTCAGTCTATAAACAAGGGGAGAGGGGTGAGGAGTAGACCAGTTTCATGGGTTTTGAGTCATAAAACTTTTTGTTCAAATGAAGGCTGACAGAGACCCCAATGTTCAAAAATGATTAGAGTAACTGCTGTCCAACAGCGTGGCCAACTCACCTAACTCCCAGACACTGTTGGCAAAGTGGGAAGACACTGCATGTATTTATTTGCAAGACAGCATGGCAGGGAAAACCCAAACGTGGCTTGGTTTATTACTGAAAAGAATGTCCAGAGTCTTGGAATCCTTTCAGACCAAGATTGAAAAACTCATGGCCAAAGTAGTTGTTCTGCTATGGCAAGAGAGATTTGTGGCTGCCGAGATTGTTCCTGGAACAGCACATGTGTGCCTCTTCATTTATTCACTTAAGAGAAGATCTGCTGGGGAAATGGAATCAACTTTCAAGCCATTTTCTCTGGCTAAAGAACAGGAGAGTAAACGAGTAGGATGCTTGGCAGAATGTACCCTGCTGCAGAAATTTCTTGTAACGATGATCTTTTAATTGGACGTGTGCTTCATTGGAAAGAAACTCAGTGCTCAGAACCTTGCTCTTGTAGCATTTACAAAGAGAGCAAGAAACTCATTTAATCTCCATGAAGTGAGAGTTGCTTTAGAAAAGCGTCAAGTCCATTTGGTGATGTGTTCGAATGGGTCTGCATCTCCATTAGAGGAATGCATTTGTCCCTAATAATTCTCATGTACTCCATCACCAATGAATATTGAAGCACAGGCCCCTCTGGGGGTTGGGATTCTGCTTAATTTGATTGAACCCAAGTCATCCAGTGAATGTCTGGAAACCAGGGATTTTCCCCAGGTGCTGGGATTGTATTTAACCCCCCTCCACACCCTGAACATCAGAGATCATAGAGCTGTTTCTATGAAGTAAGCCCAGTATGTTCTATAAGTTGGTTTGCTGTTGTTCTGTTTGTTTGTTTTTGAGTCGGAGTCTCTGTCACCCAAGCTGGAGTACAGTGGCACAATCATGGTTCACTGCATCCTCCAACTCCTGGGTCCAAGCAATCCTCCCTCCTCAGCTTCCTGCATAGCTGAGACAACAGGTTCGTGCCACCATGACCAGCTAATTTTCTGATTTTTTTTGTAAAGATGAGGTCTCACTTTGTTGCTTGGGGCTGGTTCTGGTCTTGAACTCCTGGTCTCAAACCGTCCTCCCACCTTGGCCTCCGAAGTGCTGGGATTATGGGCATGAGCCACAATGCCCAGACTCCAGTGTGTTCTAATACGAATTTTCTCCAAAACCATTTTGAACTGTGTGGTCTCCCTAGCTGTTTACAGCAATTAATATTTATAACGCTTAAAAAATTGTATCCTCTAAAAGTGACTTGCTTTGCTGATTTCTTCATTAAAAGTTTATTTTCTCCTAGGTTAAAACTTTTCTTATAGAAACATGTTTCTAGAAGGTTTAGAAAAACATGTCAATGGGGAAAAAAGTGTTAGCCATAAAAATAGTTCACTTGATAGATTGTTATTTTAGGGAAGGGGAGAAAGGAACTAACATTTGTTAAGCGTCTACTGGGACCCATGTATGCTACTGGGCCCCGAGTGTTGTTCCTTTTTTACATCCTTAGCCTAACCCAAGAAATAGGGAGATTTACTTTAACTATACACAGGAACTTTGCCCAAGGTCATATAGTGTGAATTGACCAAATGGGGCTTTGAACCCAGGCCCATCTGAAGTGACATTCCCAAATTCTGTAGAATGAGGTAAGATTGTGCTGTCACTTCTTCCTTCAGGCAAGTGACCAAAGTGTGTTAGTTGGAGATTCCCTGTCCCCTCCAGGAGGCTTTTAAGTGTCTTGAATCAGTGAGTGCAATGGAAGATGCACAAATCCCAGCAGTTGTCAGCTATTCATTCTGCACACCAAAATGTAAGGGGGTAGTCAGAATGTCTGGGCATCAAGATACATGATATCTACTGCAGTGGCTTTTTTTTTTTTTTTTTTTTGGGAGTCTCACTCTGTTGGCTGGAATGCAGTGGCACAATCATGGTTACTGCAGCCTTGACCTGCTGGGCTCAGGCAATCCTTCTGCCTCAGCCTTCCACACAGCTGGGACTATAGTGTGTACCATCATGCCTGGCTAATTTTTTTTTTTTTTTTAAAGACAAGATCTTGCCATGTTGCCCAGGCTGGTCTTGAACTCCTGGGCTCAGGTAATCCTCTCACCTTGGCCTCCTAAAATGTAGAATTATAGGCATGAATCATCGTGCCTGGCTACTGCAGTGTTTTAAAAGATCAAAATTGAGCAAAAACATCCACGATGAACAAAAAATCAAACGTTTAAATAAAGGCAGGATGAGTAACAGCAGTGCCCAGCCAAGCTGGAGCTCAAGGCCAAAGGAAAAGTCCATAATATCATTTCTGTCCTTATTTAAAATGTTGGTATTTTGTTCACTATTATTTTTTTCCAGACATTTTGATTTTTTAAAAACGTTGCATGAAAATATCACTTATCTTGATTTCTGGGTATTTTGGCTAACCCCTTACATTTTCACTCAAGTCCTGACCTGCCAGGTGATGAACAGAGGCTGGAGACACAAGATGGACAGACAGGAGCTTTTAGACTAGTGGAAGTCAGTCATGCAAGTAGTCACAACATGGCATGATCCTTGCAAGTCTGTACACAGAGTGTGATGGGAAAGGAGTTACTGTTGAATCAGGGTTCTCTGGGAAGAGGATTTGAATGAAACTTGAGTTGGCTAGGGGTGGGGGAAGGATGTAGCGGGAGATGGCAAATCCCCCCATCACTCTAAGCCTCACTTTTGCTCAATCTGTAAAAGGGAGGAAATAGTAGTGCCTACCTTACAAGGTCGTTGTGACTAGAATGAGTCCATTGTGTTACATATCTAGGGCAGAGCCTGGCACATAACTAAATATATGAAGGGGACCCCCAAAAAACAGGAATTATCTTTTAGAGAGAGGGCTCCTTGAAGTATAGGCTTCCCCCTCTAAGTAAGAACCCATTGGCATCAGTGTGCATCAGTATACCAGCTAGCCTTGTTGTGAGAGGCTGTGTTTAGCATCAGTGAATTTTTGGGGGGAGATTCTTTCAAGGCGTTTGCCCATTTCATGTTGGGTAATTTATGAGCACACCTGTCCACATCGTACTGAGTGTTCAGCAGTTTTTGACCAAAAATGGCATTACCCCTACACCTCACTCTCCCTTTTTATCCAGTCACACTCTGATCAACTTTTGTTTGTTTCCTGGGATGAAAAAAGTTCTCAAAGGGAAACATTTTGCTGATGTGGAGGAGGTGAAACAGAAAAATGGCAGAAGCACTATAAGGCATCAAAATTGACGAGTTCAAAAACTGTTTTGAGCAGTGAAAATAGCATCTCAATATTTGTATTGCATCAAACAGAGAGTACTTTGAAGGTGACTGAAATTTAAACATGTAAGAATAAATACACATTAAAAAAAATAAATTCTGTTTGTGTGTGTGTGTGTTCCCCCTTGAATGTCAGCCATGATGGGGTTGGTGATAATGACTCTTGCAGACTTTTGGGTGGGGGGAATGGTATTTTTGGGCCATATACGTAATCTTAACTTTGTTTTGCAGACATCCATGACAGTGATGGTAGTTCCAGCAGCAGCCACCAGAGCCTCAAGAGCACAGCCAAATGGGCGACTTCCCTGGAAAATCTGCTGGAAGACCCAGAAGGCGTGAAAAGATTTAGGGTTTGCCTTTTTAATTGCTAATCGGGATTGATTTAAGACGTGAAGAAGTGTGGATGCATGTGTGGGGAAAATAGACCAGTTTTTTGTTTTTGTTTTTTTGAGTCAGAGTCTCTGTCACCCAGGCTAGAGTACAGTGGCATGCTCACGGCCACTGCAGCCTCAACCTGCTGGGCTCAGGTGCTCCTTCTGCCTCAGCCTTCCAAGTAGCTGGAACTACAGGTGTACGCCATCATGCCCAGTTAATTTTTTTTGATTTCTTGTAGAGGTAAGGTTTCACTCACCATGTTGCCCAGGCTGGTCTTGAACCCGTGGGCTCAGGCAATCCTCTCGCCTCTGCCTCCCAAAGTGCTGGGATTACAGGTGTGAGCCACTGCGCCCGGCTAGGCCAGTCTTTAACACTGTCTATCCCAGTTTGAAGGTAAGGCCTTCTTATCTGTCATGGCTATTTTGGCACTGCTCTCACAGATAGCACCAGACGGGCACTGAGAGGCACATGCAGTCTGTTTCTGGTTTTTGTGTAGCAAGGTGGGAGGGGATGGGGCGCTGCTCATTGGTGGAGTCTGAACAAAGAATTCCCAGCTCTGGGACACTCAGATGTGAAGGCTGGTTCTCTCGTGCTCAGGGATTCTTCGATGCATTGCTGCCAGAGTGAGAGAGGCTGGCCTTGTGAACCTGGTAAAGGGACCTCCAAGAGAAGAGTTGATGGCTGGGGAAGTGTTGACATTACTTGGAAAATATCTTGTTTGGCCAGTAGATGCTTCAGGTGCCAGTTGGAGGACCACATGTGAATTTCAAGAACGAATGCCTATAACCTCTGTCCTGGGTCAGGACAGGCTGGGCCCCCGTGCTGTTGTTCCTGGTTGGGGCTCCCAGGGAGGGAGTGGCAGGAGGTCCTAGGGCTGCTGGTTCTCGGACGCTGGGCCCCTGTGAACAGTGCCTGCGACTCAGGGAGGTCTCTGCGTGGCGGGATAGCTGACCACCAACTGCCCACACTTGCCAAGAGAAAATACACCTCCAACTTAAAATAGTTTTCATCATGGTGTTTTTAGACATGCTCAATATGTTTTCTTTTCTTTTGTTTAAAATAAAAAGGTCCTGATTTCAGAGGAATGTACTTTGTTTAAACAGTCTGGAAGAAACTAATATATCTTCCACTTTAATTTACTTTTTGGTAATTTATTATCAGCTTAGAAATTGGAGGAGATTCCTGCTTATTTTTAATCTTCCTTACAATGTCAAAATCATTAAGGCCAAGTGCGTATAAAATTCTAACATTTATTTATTTATTTATTTTTTGAGTCAGTGTCTCTGTCATTCCGGCTGGAGTGTAGTGGCTTGATCATGTCTCACCGTAGCCTCAACCTCCTGGGCTCAGGCAGTCTTTCCACTTCAGCCTCTGGAGTGGCTGAGACTACAGGCCACCATGCCTGGCAAATTTTAAAAAAATTTTTGTAGCAACAGGGTCTCACTATGCTGCCCATGCAAATTCTGGTTTTAACCATTAAACATACTCTTCATTTTTCAGGGTGATTGAACCAAACTCCCCTATTGAATTTTGCCATATCAGTCCCTGGAGGGAAATGTCTTTTTTTTAAAAAAAGTAGAATGCTGTGTGACTTTTTGTCTTTTTTATCCATAGGAATTTTTGAAAAAGGAATTCAGTGAAGAAAATGTTTTGTTTTGGCTGGCTTGTGAAGATTTTAAGAAAATGCAAGATAAGAAGCAGGTATTTCTTCTACTCTATGATCGCTTTCCTTATAATTTGTTTCCTTATAGTGTTACAACTGCCTTTCTAATCGATTTTGAAATTGCTTAAAGAAACCTGATTCATATCAGATTTGGGGGAAGATTTAAGCTTCAAGTTAAGTCTCTTGTGTTGATCAAATATTAATCATTTTTAAAAGAGTGAGTTAGTCCATTTTAAATGAAGCTGTTCAAATGGGCCAATATTTAAAACAAAAATAACGATTTATGTCCTTTAGTGTTTGTCACTGTGTACGATTTTTTTCTTTGTGAATAAGTTATGAGGATGTTTCCCCCAGAGTTGGACACGTTGGCATTTTGGGACATGGTAAAATGATATGCAGATGTGTGATGATAAAAGCACCATGTGCATCAGATGGGCTGTCAATTATTCAATATGTCTTTACAAAGCATCCCAGGGTTGGCAGGCATCCACAAAGACAGTTCTGACTGGTCTCCTGGGTAGATGTGTGTTCTTTGCAGGAGGCAGTTTTTGATTCCCAGTGCTAACTGGGTTTTCTGCCATTGAAGGTCGGGTGTAAGGGAGCTGGATAAGATTATGAGGAAGGGGACCTGAGTGAGCACTAGGTGGTTTTATGAGGCCCATGCCTGTGTATTGACAAGAGGCTACCAGCTAAATCCCTCCAGGGCCTGGAAAGTTCTGTGAAGTGAGGCTTCTGGTGTGAGGCTGCAGGGAGTGGTGGGGACTAGGGCCAACAGCTTGCCTGCCCCAGGGGCTATGGCAGGTTGTCTAGGGTCTGTGGCTGTCTGGATTTCCCCTGCTTCGGGTTCTGTCTCCACCAACTCGCTGATGGGGATCGCCTAGGTCTTTACCCACCCACTCTTGCTCTCCAGGACACTGCGAAGCCATCTACTTGAGGAGTCTCTTATCTCCAGCCCAATGCTGCCTGTTTTCTAGAGAAGCTGGACTTTTGGATTCTTATGTGAAACCACCCGATTTTTAAGTGTTGGAACTAATTTTTTAAAACTGTAAAACCCTGCCTGCCAAACAAAACATAACAAAACATACCCACAGGCAGATGTGGCTTGCGGGCTGCCAGTTTTTGCGCCTCTGTCTCCATGAGCCAGAATCCACAGGGCCAGCAGCTGTTAAGTGTTTGCAGACAACAGCTTGGAAAATGTACATCAAGGGTTCACTCAGAGGCTGTGCCGGGTGCAGGCATGCTTCCCTCCAGATGGCATGCCCTGGGCTTCCCTCTGCCATCTTTCTCTCTGGAGGTGGCAGAGATGGATTTGAAGATGAATCTCTCTAAAGCCATTGCTGGGCATGGCCCTTGGCTCTTGCTTCCCGGCTTTCCCTTCCCTCCAGATGACCTTGGCTGGAGCCTCCTGGCTGGCGAGGGGCCGCGGGAGAGTGAGCAAGCAGTGGGGGGCTGTTCTGGAATGCTAGGATTTGGGGCTGAAGTTCTTTAGAACAAGAAAGCCCAGAAGGCCCCTGTAGGACTTTGGTGGTGTGTGTTGAGTGGGAGGTGGTGGTTGGGAGGAGGATAAGACTTTCAGATGTGCCTTGTCTACCCCTGTGGAGTAGACAAGGAAGCGAGGCCCCCAGGCTGTGGCAGAGCTGGGACTCAAACCTGCGCTCTGGGTCCCCTGTGTTTCCCTGCACACCAAGCTACAGGGCCGAGCAGGTGAGCTTCTCTAGGCAACAGGAACAAGCCTTTGCAAGTGGGATGCGTCTAGAAATGGGAAGTACGCATCTGTGGGAGCAAGGCAGTGGACAGTCCGGGAGGCCCCCCCAGGGGAAATGACTTTTCAGCTGAGACTAGGCGTGGGGCGGGGATGGCATTCCTGGGGTAGGGGACAGTGTGTGGCCAGCAGGGAGACCAGAGGGGAGGGTCATGTGTGAAGGGGAGGCTGGTGTCTGTGCTTGAGGCAGGTGCGTCTGCACCTGGGGGCTTGGGTGCCAAGGTGAGGAGGCTCCAGAAGGCCCCTGTAGGACTTTGGTGGTGTGTGTTGAGGGGGCGGTGGTGGTTGGGAGGAGGAGAAGACTTTCGGATGTGCCTCCTCCAATGTTTCAGGTAGGGCAGGCCTAGTGTTGGGTTGCCCTGCCCTGCCTACCTCCTATAGAGAGAGCTTCTAGAACTGGGCATTCCCTTCCATGCCTCCACCCCAGTACCCAATATAGGACTTCCTGAAAGTGTGTGTCCTTATCCCTGAAAGATGCCTGGAGATTGCTTCGGTGCCTTGAATGCTGCCCTCACCTGTCAGCTGCCTGAGAACAAGCATTCATGACACCTGTGGTGTTCAGCCTGGGATGTTTGGGCCCCCATCTGTCTTATTCTCCTGAGTCTCACGATTGTTCTCACACACAGATGCAGGGATGTAGTCTGAGAGGCTAGGAAGTTTGCCCAAGGCCGTCTGGCTTGTTGCACACAGGCCCAGGTACTCTCCAAATGAGTCTTGCTGCCTGGGAAGTGAAGCCAGGGAGCAAGCTCGGAGTTACTAACTTACAAACGGGGAGAAGGTCACAGGCCACCTGACTGAACTGCACAGTCAAACTTCTCACATCTGTTCACCGGGGACTGTGGGCGGGTTTATCTCTCTCTACATCCAACCATGGCCACCGGGGGACTGATGCAAATCTCATTCTTGCCTCCATGGTCTTAAATAGAACCTGCGTTGGTCTGTTTTTTCTTTCTTTTACTTGGATGACTCAGGGACTGTCTTGCATAACTTACACGTCCATCTTCTGTGTCATTGTCCTCCCCTCTGGCATGTAGCTCCCTGACACGGGGCATCCCTGTGTCGTCTTCCCACGGCCTCTGGGTTCCTGGACCTGCACCTGGCACACGTGGACTTCCACTTGCTCTTGACAGGATGAAGGCCTTCACTCAGGCCAGTGACACCTGAGGCCAGTCAGGCAGGATCCTTACCTGTGCTCCAGTTTCAGCCATCGTGATGGACCCAAGAGATGAATGTACTTTCTGTCCTTTGGGGGCCTTCCGTCTCAGGAGCAGCAGATTGTGGAACAGTGCTGTGTCCTGGCTGTCCTCCCCCGCCTGTGCTTCACCTGCTGGCAGGAAGGGAAAGCAGTGCCTTAATTTGGGAAGATCTTGACACTCTGCATTTGCAGTGGGGATGCTGGAAACTTAGGGAATTGGGAGGGTGACACCTCCCACACCCCCTCCTTGAGGTCTCTGCAGTTGGGATGCCTTTTTCGGGGTCCATATTCAACAGGCAGCTTTCAAAAGTCTCCCACATTGCAATTTCTTTTCTTTTTTTTTTTGAGTCGGGTCTCACTCTGTCACCCAGGCTGAACTGTAGTAGGACTATAATAGCTGACCGCAGCCTCAACCTCCTAGGCTCAAGCGATCCTCCCTCCTTGGTCTCCCAAGTAGCCAGGACTGCAGGTGCACACCACCATGCCTGGCTGATTTTTTAAAATTTTTGTAGAAATGGGGTCTTGCTGTGTTGCTTATGGTGGTCTCAAAGTCCTGGGCTCAAGTGATCCTCTCGCCTCAGTCTCCCAAAGTGCTGGGATTACAGGTGTACCTAGATTACCTAGATACACTTTGCAATTTCTTTATTGTTTAAAGTTTTTCTATAAATAGCTTCTTTCTCATGAATTAGCACTTGAGATATATCTGGGTCTTTCTTTGCCACCATCAGGAGAGGGGTGTTCCATTTCCTGAATGCAGGTCCTCTTTTGTGCTGCGTCATTCCCTCGTTTTGGTGGAACACCGCTGGAGATAGCTTCCCAAGAAAGGAGACCCTGCAGGCAGATGTATCAAGACCTTGCTGGAAATGTTTTTTCTTCCTACCTTTTCACTCCCTTGACAGTCTGATGGAGCATAGAATTCTAGGGTGAAACTCAGAAGTTTGAAGACATTGTCCCTTAATCTTCTACTTTGGTTAGGAATCAATAATTTATATGTAAACTGTTTTGTTTTCTTTTGCTTTTTTTTCCTCTCTAGAGTAGTATAAAATCTTTTTTAATCACCAATATTCTAAAACTGTACAATCATGGGTTTTGGGAGAGAGGTTGTTCATTGAGTGTGTGGAGCTTTGCAATCTGGAAATTTGTAGTTGTGGGAAATGTTCTTATGTTGTTGCTGTTATTGTTACTATCATTTTAGTAACTTTTTTCCTTCCATTTTCTCAGTCTCTTTTCCAATGATGGCCTGTCACTTTTGGATTGAGCTCTTAATTTTAGCTTTTTTTCCTTCTCATTTTTTAATCTCTTGGGCTTTTGGAGTTTTCAAATTTATCTCCAAATATTTCTATTGAATTTTTTTCTGCCTTTGTTTTTTATTTTCTCCAGACAAGGGTCCTCTAGGCTCTTCCTGGTGGGCTGCAGGCTTGATATGTTCCTAAACTGAACACATCTCCAATCAGCTGGTTTGGGAGAAGCTTGTGGGGGGATCTATATTTGGAATTTCACTAAACCCCTTGACTCAGTTAGCATCTCATCCTTGCTCTCTTTCATATCTCTATTCTGGAACTGCTCTGGGTTCATTTCTTTAGGAAAAAAAACCCCAGGCTGGGCACAGTGACTCAAGCCTGTAATCCCAGAACTTTGAGAGGCCAAGGTGAGAGGATTGCGTGAACCCACAGGTTTGAGACCAGCCCGGGCAACTTGGCGAGACCTCATCTCTACAATAAGTAAAAAAATTGACCAAGCATGGGAGCATGTGCCTGTAGTTGCAGCTACTTGAAAGGCTGAGGCAGAAGGATCGCCTGAGCCCAGCAGGTTGATGCTGGGGTGGCCATGAGCATGGCACTGCTCTCCAGCCTGGGTGACACAGTGAGACTCCAACTCAAAAAAAAAAAAAATAAGAAAAGAA